ACTTAACCACGTTCTTTCTCCCAAAGAAAAGAATGTAAGGTTGCTGAGATCACTCCCAACTGAGTGGTACACCAAAGCCACAGCCATGGAAGAAGGAAGAAACCTGGAAAACTACACTGTTCAAGGTCTCCTTGATGAACTCAGAACCTATGAGCACGAGCTGAAAAAGAAGAAGGAAGAACAAGTCACTCCCTTCCCCTTGGCATTGATGACAACTTCAAGAATTCCATCAAGTGAAGGGACATGCACAAGAAACTGTGACACACCTTCCTCCAGCCAGCCGTCAAGCTCAAAAATGGAGAACTACGAAGAGGAATTTGCCATGATGGTCAAATAATTCCGGAAGTTCAAGAAGTTCTTCAAGAAGGCTGATTCAATCAGAAGGCCATCCAAGGGAAAGCCACAGGTAAGTGACTCCCCTCCTGAATCTTATTTATGCTATAACTGCAGGAAGCCTGGCCACTGGAAGTCAGCATGCCCATACCAAAAAGTGGAGAAGTACGGAGAAAGATAAAGGATCGAGAAGAAAAAGAAAGCAATGGTTGCTGCTGAAAGTGACGAGTCATTCTCACTGGGAAGAGAATTAGAAACATCTATGAAGTGATATGGAGCGATGTCAAGGAAGCATGTCTAATTAGCAAAGGTGACACTAACCTTCTATGGCTTTGGCATAAGAAGTTGAGTCATCTCAACTTCAAAACCCTCAACAAGCTGTCCAAAGAAGAGTTAGTAGAAGGTCTTCCCAAAGCTGCATTCAGAAAGGAAAGTATTTGTGATGCTTGCCAAAAAGGAAAGAAAGTCAAGTCCACCTTCAAGGCAAAATCGGCACCCTCAACTACAAGGATATTAAGTCTTATTCACATGGACTTATTTGGCCCTATTACACCAATAAGTCTAAGTGGAAAGAAATATGTCCTGGTGGTAGTTGATGATTACTCAAGATACACGTGGACAATCTACCTCAACAGCAAGAAGGAGAAAGAGAAAGGATTGAGAAGAAAAAGAAAGCAATGGTTGCTGCTGAAAGTGACGAGTCATCCAGCTCAAGCTCGGATGAAGAAGCCCTCGTCTGCATGGAGCGCAGAGTTGAGAAGTCCAACCATGAGGATAGGTGGACTATGTCAGAAGATGACACTCTCTGCCTAATGGCCAAAGATGATGCTGATCAAGAGGTAACCTCACAAACCTCCTGCTCATCTTCTTATAGCACACCAACTTCTGAAAATCTTTTTGACCCGTTCAAAAAGATGATGAAAGACTTTGAGGAGATAAATCTCAAACACACATCCTTAACAGAAGAGAACAAACTATTAAGTGAAGAAAATCTCAAGTTGACTGAAAGTCGGAAAAGTCAACTGAATGAGATCACTCAACTCAAGACTGAAAATGAATCTCTCTCTGAAAAGGTGAAATCCCTTAACAAAGAGCTAGGGATACTCAAGTCCCAAGAAGCAGTGAACAAGCTGCTTGAAACGACCAAACATAAGGGTCGCAAAGGACTTGGGTTTNGGGACACACACCATTAACTACTCCGGACCCAAACTTAATTGGGTACCAAAATCTTCCTCCTCCTAATGCAGGAAGCCGCTAAGTACCCAGGTGTCTGGTACTTAGACAGTGGCTGTTCAAGACACATGACGGGTGATGCGAGCCTTTTGAGCAATCTAATTCCCTATGATGGTCCAAGAGTTACTTTTGGAGGAAGCAATGATTTTGGCCTTACCAAAGGGCTAGGAAATCTGGTGTACAAGGGACTAACCATCCAAGCTGTATCTTATGTTGAAGGTCTCAACTATAACCTTCTTAGCATAAGTCAGTTTTGTGATAAAGGTTACTCCTTGGAATTCTGCAAGGACATGGCATCTCTCAAGAACATCTCCACAAATGAAGTCATTCTCACTGGGAAGAGAATCAGAAACATCTATGAAGTAATGTGGGACAATGTCAAGGAAGCATGTCTAATCAGCAAAGGTGACACTAACCTTCTATGGCTTTGGCATAAGAAGTTGAGTCATCTCAACTTCAAAACCCTCAACAAGCTGTCCAAAGAAGGGCTAGTAGAAGGTCTTCCCAAAGCTGTATTCAGGAAGGAAAGCATTTGTGATGCTTGCCAAAAAGGAAAGCAAGTCAAGTCCACCTTCAAGGCAAAATCGGCACCCTCAACTACAAGGATATTAAGTCTTATTCACATGGATTTATTTGGCCCTGTCACACCAATAAGTCTAAGTGGAAAGAAATATGTCCTTGTGGTAGTTGATGATTACTCAAGATACACGTGGACAATCTTCCTCAACGGCAAGAAGGAGACTCAAGGGAAACTCACCAACTGCATGAAGCTGATTCAAAACCAAGCAAGTCAAACCATTCAGAAGATCAGATCTGACAAAGGCACAGAATTCCTGAATGAAATCATCATTCACTACTGTGAAGAAAACGGAATTCTTCATCAGACATCTGCAGCAAGGACACCTCAACAAAATGGTGTAGCTGAAAGAAGGAACAGAACCCTGAAGGAAGCAGTAAGAACCATGCTAGCAGAAGCTTCCTTACCAAAGAGGTTCTGGGCTGAAGCTATTAACACAGCTTGCTATACTCAAAATAAAAGTGTGATTTATAAAAGGCACAACAAAACTCCCTATGAACTGTGGAACGGGAGAAAGCCTAATATATCATATTTCCATATTTTTGGGAGCAAGTGCTTTGTGTTAAACAACGGGAAGAATCATCTGAACACTTTTGATGAGAAATCAGATGAGGCCATCTTCCTAGGATATTCCATGGTGAGCAAGGCATTCAGAGTTTTCAACAAAAGAACCATGATCACTGAAGAGTCAATACATGTCATTTTTGATGAAAAACATGTGGTTGACAAGCCATCAAAGCATGATCATGAGGTGTTGGATCTATCAGACAAGGATGAAGAAGTCAATGAAGGAGATAGAATGAAGCCCACGGAGTTCATTCCATTCAGAAGTCTACCACTGAAGACTTCACAGAGAAATCCGGATTCAGACAGTGCTGAGCCTTCCGAAAATTTTGGCCAGCCTTCCAACATCCCGGATCTCTCAAACGGCGACAATTCCGGAAATGGCGACCCAGTGCCAATCCATCCGGAAACAC